AACTCGGCTGCTGAGGCTGCCAAGATCCTGGCAGAAAACCGTAGACTGATGCGAGAGCAGAAAGAGAGAGAGGAGAAGCTTAGGCTACAGAAGGAGGAAGAGGAGAGGTAAGGTTATTTGAGCTGCTGGAACTGTGTTCTTGTTTGTTCCACAAGTTATCATCATAAATTATTGTTTTTATTGTGTGTTGTTTGTCTATATATGACAGAGTAACCTCATTTATGACCACAGCGTAATACCATTGACAACAAAGTTGTTTAATAACAACAGTAGTTTGGAGCTGCTTGTATTTTATAGCCACATGTGCGATTTGCATTGTTTTAGCTAATGAAACAGGCTGAGGCATACTGGTAATGAATACGAATAATTTTCATTTGTCAGGATACGTTAAATTAAGAGGTGCCATTTTTGACTATCTTAGGTTGAGAAAAGAAGAAGAGGCACGATTAGCAGAAGAGGCTCGATTGAAACGTCTGGAGGAGGAAAAGCAGCTTGCAGAGGAGAGAAAACTTAGGGAAGAGGAAGAGGCTCGCCTAGCAGAGGAGGAACGGATTAGGCTGGCAGAGGAGGAAGCACAAAGGCAGGCTGAGCTCCAAAGGGAACGCGAGGAGGCCGAGGCCAAAGCCCAGGAGGAGGCAGAAAGAGTTCGTCAGGAGAGAGACCGCATTATGCAGCAGAACCAACAGGAGCGTATGGAGAGGAAGAAGGTATGATGGGTGCATCAACTTTTTAAATTTTTGTTTTGGGCCTTGATTCATCGACGTGTCATTAAATAATTTTGTTTTGACAAGAAGTTACATCGAGAGTCAGTTTTTTAACCATCAGTCTCTCCTTTACCCAAGAGTCCAGATCACATTGGCAAAGTAATTACTAGAAATTAATTTCTAACCTAACTTCTTTCTGTTACAGAGAATTGAAGAAATAATGAAGAGAACTAGAAAAGGGGACCAAAATGATTTAAAGGTGAGCTCACATTCAGTCAACCCATTTGGTCGTATTTGTGATTTTTGGAAAATTCCTTCACAATCAAGGTCGGTTAACATTTGTCTCCTGTGTAGAGAGATGATGATAAATGCACACAGGAGAATGAAGATGAGGAAATGGACCAGATAAACTATGAAACTAAAAGTAAGAGTTCTCCAGTCTTTTTCAGCTAAGAATCTAAATATGCTGAGCGACTTTCATTATTTGTCTGTAACTGCGAATGTATCTTCTTACTTTCAATGTACTTACATATTGCTTGAGTAAAATTACATATATTTCTATGCGACTTGTGACATATCTAATCTGTGTTTTCATTGTCGCCCTAATACAGTAACGGAGATTGACAAAGATGAGAGCTGTCTGTCCTCCGGTGAGCCTGCAACAGAGCGAGAAGAGCCTCTGGGCCACACGGACGAGACATCAGAGACAGACAAGGAGAATAACAATGGCACAAGCACAGATGAGACTCAGGCAGAAAGGTACAACTGTAGAGAAACCAACAAAACCCACAAACTGAGTTACGTTTAGTCATCTAAAACTGCCTCAAATAGTTGGCACTTTTCTTCCTCACAAAATACCTCGGTATTACAAGTTAGCTAACATGTCAGAGGTGGGACAAGATTTTCTCACATTATTAAACTGTTTTGGTATGTTAGTGAAGCCAAAGACTCCCATCTCATATTTTACAGTTTGGCTTCTAACATTTTACAGAGAAATACATAAAATACATTACATTTCAGATCTTTTTTTCTCTCTTAAGAATCAGATTTTAGTTCAGATGTATTTCTATTAAAATACAAACACCTATAATAATCTCTTACTCTCCCTTGGTTCCCCTTCTTCAGTCCAGTACCTGAGGGTCGCCTTGTCGAGGGTTCTGAGTTCACGAATGAGCAAGACTCTACCAAGTTGGTCTCCACAGTCAATGGAAAATCCAACCAATGGAGCTTTGAGGAGCTCATTGACCTTAACGGCCACTCCAAGTCTCGACCCCTCCTTGAGGCGGGGGACTGTAACAATGTCTTGATCAATTGTGACGGGAGCTCAGATGGAACCAGAGTAGCCTTTGAAGACAATGAAACCCCCATCAGCACGCTGCATTCCTCCAGTCAACCCTTAGAAGCCCTGCCAGGTGAGCTGTCAGTCGCTGATGACTCCGATGCTGCCATTGTCTAACTTAACAACTGACAAGAACTCTCGTGTTTTATGTCCCTCCAGAGATTTGACGTCTGCGGCGTCGCTGAGAAGCCTCTTATTGCTGCACTCCTAAAGTTCCTGTCCAGTTGACCTCCTTAAAAATTCTGTCAATTCCAAGCAGCTTTCTCCCCTTTCTCCTCCTTTTCCAGAGGGAGGAGCACAAGGTGAAGTGGAAAGACCACCCAAGTGCTACGTTTGCACCCTACATGATGAGGAAACTATGTATTGAAAGTATATATTAATAATTGTGCTTCAGGGAAATGCTGTCTGTTCTTTCCACATGCTTACCCTGGGTCTTTTTCCTCTTCCTCTTGTGGTTTTTAGTTCTCCAGATTTTTTTTTTTCTCAATTTTGTTCAGTTTTGATGATTTTTTTTTTTTTAAAGTGTTTGCTTTTGTCAGGGGTGCGTTGTTATAATTTATTAATTTTGGCTTCTTTGATATTGTAATTATTGTTATCAAATGTTTAGTCTTTTTTTCTTCTTGTGAGAATATTCCAGGACACATGCACAATAGATTTTGTGAATTATTCTTAATTAATGGAAGAAATTGTTATACGTTCTGTTTTGTGTTGGTGGAGGTGGCATCACAGGTTCTCCATGTGACTGATCTAAATTTACTTGACAGTCTACTTTTTGCAGCAACATGGCCTTACAATTTTTTTTCCCTCCTTTCTAATTTTTTAAAACAATTTTTTTTTCTTGCATGCACAGGTTAGCAGTCCCTGCTAACCTCGGGATTGGCTGTGTTAATACATTACTTGACTGGGCTTTTGCCATTTCATCCCCCTCCTTGATTTTTTCCCCCCCTTTCCTTCTTTAGCCACTAGAGGGCTTCAGCAGCACAGCAGTTGCATTTGAAGGCGAACCATGTGTAGATCCACATGTTCAGTAAACTTTTTGCACTTGTTTGAAGCTCACGGTTGGTTTAGGTTTTCCTTTTTTTTTCTTTTTTTTTTGCATTTGTATATAGAATACAAGTTTACTAATATTGTACTTTACAAGAGTCCTAGCTGGGTCCGGTTTTAGTGTCATTTGTGGCGACTCCTCCAACTGTTTGAATAACCATACCTGTAACAGACTGTCACAAGACAGAGGTGAAATCCAGTAGTTTATTTTTAGCTGCTTCTGAGCTTCTTGACATGGTGTTTGTTACTAAACTGAAACTAGGAATCAGGCTTTCAATGATCCGGTTTTAACTTGAGCTTTAGTTCCCGCTTTGTGATTCATTCTTCTGTGTGCTTCATCATCAGTTCCACTTCTTTCCAACTAACCACCATCTAAATATCCTGTCAAACTAGCTGCTACATATGACAAAATGCATTTCAACTATTTTTGTAGTATACAATTTTGGCTGTTGGTTTCTATATGAAAATGCATTTCTACATATATTTAAGTGTTATTATATTGTGTAAATAATCAGTATTAGGCAAATGAAGCCATGTTTAGGATGGAGTGGCTCAGGTTGTGGAGAATTCAAGAGTCTGTGTAAATGACTATTCGGTTTCAGTTTGACTGGTGCCGTGTGACGGGGTTGCCAGGTTCTGTTTGGCCTACCTGGCAACCTTTATGTCCCCTTTCACAAGAGCTCAACAAAACTGGGTGGCAATCTACTTTGTTTCCTAAGTTTCAGCTCTGTATCTGCAAGCGCTAATTCTAAATTTTGCCTACAAAAAAAGACTAAACCAGTTGAGATTTGGATGACAGACAGAGCCATTTTTGTCCTTACAAACACATCTAAACCCATGATATGAGTCATAGATGTGCCTCTCAGTGCTTTTACTGTCATCAAAATGCAATTAATGTCACGCAAAAGGATGTAGGGGTGTTGATTGGTCGTTGCAGGTGCGTCTGCTCAGGATTCAATTGTTCTACTGTAGAATAAGGAGGGCACTTCCACCCAACAAAACCTGACGTGGGTCAGGCTGGTTGTCTGGTTCTTTGTTATTCATGAAATGTTGAATTTCTTGATGCTTGAAAAGTCCAAGCACGAGGTTTGAGACCTTGAACTTTTGCCTTTTTCTCTGCTGGCTTACTAAACTCTCTCTGTACATATAAGGAGTCTGAGCTTTTTAGCTTTTCAGCTTTGATTAATAAGCTCAAAGAATGTAACAGACTCCATAAACCGTCCTGCAATATTTACCACGTCTCTGAGCTTACGCGCTTTTAGCCATCTTATGTTATTCTTCTAGGACGCATGAGACTTTTTGCACTGTCACAAGTTACCCTTCTTTAAACAAAGCACGTATCTGAGGACTTTACAGACTCCTGGGGGAGCTGTGTAAACTTTCATAAAGAAAAAGTCATTTATGTAGTTCTGTCACTTATTCCCATCCAGATGTTTTAGCCTCATTCATAACCTGAGCCTTAGATCTTTCATACTCCACTTTGCTTTCCTGAATACACCTAAGGAGTGGTTATAGTTGCTGCTTGAACACATACGGTGTCTGCATGTTACAGGGTATGGATGCAGAGCTCACAGCACGTAGTCCTCAACATCATCTATAATGTTAGGTTAGAACGGTGCCTTAGATTAAGATTTAGTGTGGGTTGTTTGTTTTGGGTTTTTTTATTGTTTCACAGTCAACTAAGAAAGCTTCTCCTTACCTCGGCCTCGACAATCATTCTACTCAACAAGGGCAACTTTGTGAATATGAATATTTCTCTAGACGTTTTACTAACAATGCCCTGTCCACATATTACATTTGTACTGTAAATATATCTAAAGTTTACTGAGATACTGACTGTTAAAACAATAAAGCCTTGAAAAAATATGTTTCCATTTCTTGCTGTGAAGAGGAAAAATGGGGCTTCATATCAGTTTGTTTTTATTCATGTTTTGCATTTAATGTCACTCATTAAGAATACATGAGCACTTTATATTTCAGTATGGGTTCATCTAAACAGTTTTCTCGTTTTCTATTTGTGCATTCAGAGATGTAACAGACTATTAATCAAAGCTGGTATGTATTAGCAGCAGGAAGCATATTAAAAGCATTTTCCCCCCCAAAAGATTCCAGTAAGCCACTGAAAAGACTTTTGTCTCAATAGGCTCTACAAAATCCTGTATTAGATATATAGTGCACATCACAAACCCACAAAGAAAATACGTCATGTTAGTATCCAATCCCTGACTCTGAAACAAGCTGCAGTTATGTTTACATAGATAAATGCAAGTTAATTGACACAGCCTGTAGTTTAGCAACCTTGCAAATTTTTGTCAAAAAGTCAGTTTAGGTGTTAACTCCACATCATCAAATTCTCAGATGCACAACAGTTTGCACATTTTACAGCTTCTTAGCACAGTCGGGGCAATAAATGTGCTCTCCATTGATGACAAAGCGCTTGTTGGCCAAGGAGAGGGAGCACTTCTTGCAGTTGAAGCAGTACTCATGCCAGGACAATCCCTCATAGTTGACCACATTGGTGCCGTGGCCAAACCCTGCACAGAGACACATGAGGGTGTTTTTTAATACAAAAAAAAGGATGTTAACATAAAGCATAGGTGTCAAACTCTGGCCGAAGCCATACCAAATTACTATCAGAGCTGGCCTACTGGTATTATACAGCTAATATATATATATTGTTTAGTATTAAGCTTTGCTTGTTCCATATTCAGTTTTTTAGCAAAATGTGTTTGAGTCCATAAGAAAAGATTCATTCTTATATCTGGAGGAATAAATATATTTCAATAAATATTAACGTTAGCCCGCGACTTTGTTCCAGTTTTGAATTTTGGCCCACTGTGTATTTGAGTTTGACACCCCTGACATAAAGCATAAAGGCCAAAACATGTAATACATGATCTTACCGTTTGAGACCAAAACAACATGTAAGAGCTAAAGGATTAAATTTAAAAGGGGAAATTGCGTAAGGAGGGAAAAGCTCCCTATCATTGGCACTAATCTCCATTTAAATCCAAGTGCTTATTCATGCATTAGTCATTTATTATGCCTGCCATAAGACAAATTGTAATATTTTTGCTTGTTCAGCTGACCTGCTGTGTGCTGCCTGAACAAATTGAAGTTGTGCTGAAAGTTTATTGGAAGTAATTTAAATGGTTGTCTGCCAGAGATGAAAACAAAGTGTTGCCCTTTTCTTGCTCTCAGATACAATAAATGTCTAACTATATAACACAGTACTTCTAAACCTTACTCCAAACAACGTTGGTCTTAAATGAGTGAGAAACAACACGAAGAAAGTACGCAAAACATTTTAGATCATTTTTTTAAAATGAATCCCAGCGCACATTATGTAGACAACAAAACAAATGATGATGCTTCCCTGACCTGTTATTGGGTTCTTGCAGCCATGGCACTTCTTGGCCACATCAGTCTTGTAGCAGTCCACGCAGTAAATGTTGTCCTCATGAGAAGTGAAGCGAGTTCCTGCCAGAGATTTATGGCAGGTTTTGCACACGAAACACTCGGAGTGCCATGGCTGGTCCTGGTAGCTGATCCCTCCAGAGGTGATGGGCTTGGAAAGGCAGATATTTTGATTGTGATGTCAAACACAACGGGATGATAACTAAATGTAGAGAATGATAAAGTCTGTGCTTGTACCTGCTTGCAGTGGAAGCATTTCTTGGCAAACTTCTTTTCGTGGCAGGGAGAACAGTAGATGTCCTCACCCTTGGCCAGGAAACTCTGTGTGCGGATTGGCTGCTTGCACTCAATGCAGGTGAAGCATTCCTCATGCCACACCTTGTTCTTGTACTCCACGTTCTGAGATCCTGAATAACAAGATGATTGAAAACGAATTATCTGGGCTGAAAATTTGCTTAGTCTATAACGAGGAGGGACATTATGTATATATATATATCAGTGCCCTGTCTGATATTATCATATGTACTATCATTACTATCAAGGTTCATGCTACCTTGTTGTATCCGAGGGAATTTTTAAAATGAAAGAATTCATTACATCCTATAACTTTTGCCGTGTTTATTAAAGTGTTGTTGTTGTATGCGCAAAATAATGTTCTATAGAAAAATTATTACCCACAGAAATAATGTCATGAAAACTTTTCAGAGAGAAAAGGTGTGTATATGGTGCAAACCCACCTGGCATGACCACCTTGTAGCAGCCCTGGCAGCGATTGCCATCCTCTCGGGAGCCACACTTGCCACACATTATCTTCCCATCATCCCGAGCGCTGAATGCCTCACTGGCCAGTGACTTGTAGCACTTGGCACAGCGGAAACAGTCCTCATGCCAGTAGCGGTTCTTGTGGTGCAGCTCCTGAGGGGGAAAAGCAGGGGTGGGGAGGTGAGCAGAGGTGCCCTCACTAAGTCCTGATGCAGACCTCATTAAAATGGAGTTTGTTTACTCATCATGTGGACTGAGGCTCAGGGGCCGAATAGAGAACAAACCTATGTGACTGGCATAAAAGTGGTAATGAAGTGAAGTAGGATGTGGTGAGCCATGAAGGAGTTAGAGGTCTGAGAGGGTGGAAATGCACAATGAGGTATATAAGCTCCATTATTAGGAATGACACATCTTTTCACACAGTTAACTGCCTGTGACCGAGTACTAAGAGCATTTTCAAGGCAGAAGTCGGTGCTTTATAATAGCCAGACCTCAAGTTACAGCCAGAGAGCACTCTGAACATATAGTACATACAGTTAGGTCCACAATTATTTGGACAAGCAGCAACGTCAAGCAAATATTGCCTTCAAAGGATTTTGAGGAAGTTATTAGGAACAATCCCGTATGTCAGGTTATTTTAGTTTGTCCAGTTACTTTAAGACCCTGTGAATAAAATTGGCTGTTACACCTAAACTGTTTATAATTTAGTTAAAAGCCTTGAATTAAAGCTGACAGTCTGCACTTCAGTCACGTTTATTCAAAAGCCTCAATGACGATTTACATCTACAAAAGGCATTTTAAAATTTAGATAGCTGCCACCCAGGGTCTACTCAGCATGGCTGATGTGAAAATGGCCTATACGCAGATCAGAAGTCTCCTTTCTCTACAAAATGACCTTTAAAATGTTTTTATTTTGTCCTTGGAATCTGCGAGGAATATCTAGAAAGCTTCTGAAACCCTAATCCATTTTAGGATCTTTGCACTTAACCAAATAAAAGTATTAAGTATAATAGCATTTAGGATATATTAATTTGTGTAAGAAATCTTTACATTACACTCAAAGCTTAAACAAAAAAAAAAATCATTCTTTTCCATCCACACTATTTTCACCTTGGAGTCAGCACCAATGGGGCGTTTGCACTCTGCGCACGTATTGGCGCAGAGCTTATCAAAGCACTTGGTGCACACGTGCTTGTCATCCTTCTTCACATACTTCTTGCCATGCAGATTGTCACGGCAGTAGTAGCAGTCAAAGCGATCAGTCATGGTGGAGGTTAGATAACTCCTGGGACCTGTGAGGAGACGAGAGGAGGAGAGTGTCACTGAATGTGTACAGAGAATCTGCTCTCCACGTTTAGGTCTGCCTACATGGCTGGATGTTTCCTTGTAGCACCAGCAGGGGGCACTGTTGCATTTTCTACAGCATGGAATCAACATATGAAGCATTCTGAACCCCTTATAGTTGCAGCTCAGAAAGTTTGAAGTTGCTTATATTGACAGGTTGAATATAAGCAACAATAAATTCCACCCACATATATGCATATATACATCTGACCTCTTAACCTAAAAAAATAGATGCTGAATTTATATTTAGTCTTCAGTGGAAAGATGTATATGTTTTTTCTGCTTTCCCATTGAGACACTATGACATGTGGCTCTAACAGCAGCATACCAAACTGATGAGAGAAGTGTGAGTGAGGTAAAAAAGCAGCCCACAGATGTCTACTTGTTGATTGCAGGTTTCCTGGCCTGTAGACTGTTTTTTTATCAAGCTCTCCCTGGAAAGCTTATTTTTAGACGCATTCCCTTCACCCCCTCCACCTCAAAGCTGTCTCCCCAGAGCCCCGGCCCACATTCGATCTTTTGTCTTGCGTTTTGGTCAGATCACTTTATTAGATGATATTGTAAACTTTGTGTCAGAGTGGCTTTGCTACTTTATCGGTCAACATTCCTGCATTCCTGTCACAGTTGACATCCAGCGTGAGTAATTTTCTGGAATAAATAGTTATGCATAGTGTGGACAAATAAGCACTATCTAGATCACTTTAAAAGCTTATCTGGAAGCCAGAAAGGGTAGCTGAACAGTCTGTGAACTTTAGAAAAATTGATTTATTTGGATACACAGATATCATTTTAATCCGATGCAACAGCAGCTATGGAGGAAACAATGCAGGGTATGACAATTGTCCCAGTAACCATAGGAGCAAAGAAAACATTTATGCAGGGAGCTATTTAAGTAAGATGTGGTTAAAAAAATAAAAATAAAAGCCACGTGAAAGCGATGCGAGGTATGTGGTGTGCTCTGTTCTGCAGCTGTGCTCAAGGGATAAAGACTGGACTGGGGACTGAGCAGTGACACGCCTTACTCCACCTAAACTCACCCCCTTGTAGCATTTCATGGCAAAACCCCCTTCAGTCCAACACAGTCAACCTTGTCAAATCACACACAGTACACATTACTAAGCCCAGCAAGCCCGGAGATCTATTTTAGACTTGGACACTCTATTTAAAGTCCATTGACCTTCCAAAGTGGACAAATGTAGATGGATGGAGACTGATGACTGCTGGGACTATGCAGCTATTGTGGCTCCAGCTGACACATTCCCAGTACTTTAATCTGCTGTTGCAAACAGCGTGACAGCTGCCCCCTGTCAAACAGCCGTGATGTACAATGATGCTCAGCTGTGGTGGGAGAGGTGTATACCACTGTGCTCCCTTCGGGGAGGAGTCTTCTTTAGTGGGAAAGGTCACAGTGAGATCACTTCAAGAAGTGAGTCAAACACTGGACAGACTGAATATCAGCCGAAATAATATCTGTTGAAGTGTTCTGTTCTTTAACATTCCTTAAAGAAAACTGAAAGTGTTCCCATCTTCATGTGAAAGTGTTATAGAGGTAAAGGTGCATGGCAATAACAATTTCCAAAATTTCAAAATAGGCCCCTGAACACTTTTAAACAGTCACTACATAATTGAACATCCACACATTGTAATATTAAACCACAAATCCATAGTACAACATGGCCTTTTCATGATGATACAATATAATGAGGAGTTATTGGGTCTATTAAGTTATTTTACTGCAGAAAAATACAAAATTATATATAGACAGACAGACAGACAGACAGACAGACAGACAGACAGACAGACAGACAGACAGACAGATAGATAGATAGATAGATAGATAGATAGATAGATAGATAGATAGATAGATAGATAGATAGATAGATAGATAGATAGATAGATAGATAGATAGATAGATAGATAGATAGATAAGCTATTTAACAATCACGAACCCGTCCTCTAAAATGAGCATTGTGAGTTGAATCATGGCCTTTTAAACACTGTTTCAATAAATACTGAATATTATATTCATGCAGAAGGTAAAATTCATTGCAGGCTGTTGTGTTCATCTGCATCAGCTTCAGGTAAAATAAACTGGCATACTTATCACATAGTACAATTGACTAACATTTATTAAATGCTTTTTCTGTGGATACATATATATATATATATATATATTTTTTTTTTTTTTTTTAACATTTCATCTAAAGTAAATAAAGTACAGGGAATATTTGAGCTTTAATTGTGGTGTTAATTTACTCATCCACCTTCTGAAGTGAAAAAAAGTTCCTTGAATTCAAGTTGTTTTTTTTTTTTATACATGTTATATCTGTATCAGAACTTCAGTGAAGTTTTTCATTAAACCACCTGAAGATGTTAAAACTGATCATTTAAAAATAGCCCGTATTCATATTACAGGTGAGGTTGTTTCACACATCGAGAAAATCTCAGTGGACCTGCTCCGTTTTTCTGAAAACAATCAGAAGAAAACACACTGACTTCATTATCTGAAAACAGACCTGTTCTTCTTACCTGTTACAAAAACATTTTGCATCAGATTAGAAAAACCAAAAAAACAGGCAAAAAGTTTTTACCTGAGTGTCTGTATGTCATGTTTGTGTTCCAGAAAGGCCGAAAAGAAGAACAAGAAAAGAAAAGGAAGACAAAACAGGGTCAGTAGCATCCACAGAGGGTCGAACCTGGAGACCACACATCTTGTTAAGAAATGGGGGCTGTATATACCCCTTTGTGACCCGACCCCAAATCCAAATCCAACCTTCACCCCTCCTGTCCTTTTTAGGGAATGCATTAGAGAATAGATGGATGAGAGAGAGAGAGAGAGTATGATGCAGAGATTAGGTGATTCAGATTGGATTCCTCTGCTGTAACATCAGCAGGTGAAAAAAAAAGGAAAACACAGCCTGGGGGGTTTGAATGATGACCGTGAGGGATAACAGATACTCCCACTGCCCTGACTTTAAATGTTTTGTAAGACTCTTCAGAAGATGTACAGCTGATATGTGGGATAATTCAAAGGGATGACTCACAAGAGGAACAAGTTGATATTGATTAAGATGAGGAGGACAGCTGTTTAGTGGAGAGTTATATAAAGATCTCCTCTTATATATTCATGAGTGGATACTATGGAAAAAACTAGTGGAGTTTGAAGAAAAAGAAAAAAATGAAGCCAAGAGTGCTGAATTCTTTCTCTGTTATCTCGTTGATTCAGATTTCAGGAAAGAATATTGTATTTAAATCCAGAGGAAACACCCACACATTCCTCACTAATACTCTTGCCAAAAACAAATTCTCCTCATGCAGTTACAATACTTAACCCAGACCAACAACTGAAACAGAAACATTTGTTATTATTAACAAAACATGAGGCCAAAATGATTAGATATTATTTTACAGGAACAACAGACAGGTTCCCAAGTCATGAGTAGAAAAAAACCCCCTTCTGGTTAGCAAACAGCAGATATGGAACAACATTATCATTTATTTGGAGCTATTTGACCACCGGATCAATCAGTATATCAAATATAACTAATATGTTCACATTACTTTAGCTCTGATATGGTCTATGAACACTCCTTGAGGTAAATACCTGTATCAAAATGTTCCACTATGTTTGCCCGTTGTTTTGCAGGTCGTCTACAACATATTTTTATAACAATTTTAAAGAAACTACCTGTATGCTGTTTCCTAAAACAAAGATATAAAAGCATTATGAGTAAATTAAAACAGTAAAGTTGTGTTCTAGCGTTTGACCTAATGTTATGTAGGAAATAAGCTTCCTTACATTCAGTTAACTTCCACTGTTTCTACTAATACCAGAAACATTATGGTCACCATCATCTTGTTTTCTCATCATCTTGTCAGCTCAAATGCAGAACTACAGAGAGCACTTTCTTCTGATTCATTCAAGCTTTTAGACTCAGACAAGTTTAAAGCCAGAAATATGAGACCACGATGAAAATTAAAGGAAACTGAAAGCCCACAGACTAACAGAAAGTAAAATCTAATGAGTTGGGAACCATAAAACTCTCTATTTACTCCCTAACCAGTGTATAGAAAAGAAAATGTCCTATGTTGCTCACAAAACACATCTAAATATACACACAAACTAGTGAGTGTGTGTCTGTGTGCTTGTGCCACACTGTTTAAAGGGCATCTGGTTGTAATTACAGATTCGATTTGGTCCATTACCATAGAACACAATATTACATTTGTTCTCTTTTATAATCTGTCACGCAATTACTGCAAACCCACAAAGACTAATCAATATGTCGAGAGGCGCCATGACTCTCCAGCCTATAAAAATCTCCAGGAGATGGTCTGCTCAGGAAATCTGTTACTTCTCAGTTTGTTTGCATACTTAACTTTAAGTCTTGTTTCAGATTATTATGTCTGTAACCAGATAATTTTGCCCCACATCCTTTTTCTCCTTTAGTTTGTTTGGATCATCTATCTTGGTCTTTATCTCTTTGTCTGCACTGCGATGCATTCCTCTCATCGTTGCCTTGACTTCATGTGAATTTTGATCATAAGGGGTGGGGCAAACTGGAAAGGTCACAGTCTAACAGTTTGATAAACTGGATAACTGATAATGGAGTAATTATGATGGCGTGGTAAACGGTGGATTTTTCTTTTTTTGTCTTTCTCTTATTATTTTTTAACCAGTAGAGGTCCAATATTAAGGTACACACTCTGTCATTTAGAAGGTTTTATACATCAGGACATAATAGAAAAATTACCTCATCCAGATATTAAAATTTAAATTTCCTTACATAGGTAAAACCTCAAATGAAGAACAACACATGACACAGTGTACATCCACGTTTCATTAACTTGCAGAACTGCCTGCAATAAGTTAAAGTAATTGTTTTCTGCATGACTTTATCAATCTCTCACATCATTGTGGAGGAATTTTGTCCCACTTTTCTGTACAACGTTGCTTCAGTTCATTTGCAGGTCTTTTAAGGTCTCGCCGCAGCATTTCAGTCCGGTTGAGGTCTGGACTTTGACTAGGCTTTTGCAACACCATGATTCTTTTGTTTTTCAGTCATTCGGCTGCATATTTGTTCCTCTGCTTGGGATCGTTGGCCTGCTGCCTGCCCCCATTTAGGTCAAAAGTCAGCTGTCAGACAGATGGCTGACAACCTAAAACGTCACCCTCTGCCACCTTGCTCGACAGTTGGTATGAGGTATTTGTGCTGACATGCTTTTTGGTTTCCTCCAGACATGGTGTTCTGCATTATGGCCACACATCTCCAATTTAGTACCGCCTGTCCAAAGGGCATTGTTCTATAAGTCTTGTAGCCTGTTCAGATTCAGCTTTTCAAACCTAACATGCTAACAGCATCTGAGGTGTAGCACTTCGGTTTTTGGTGTTTTTTTGCAGTTTCTCTGAGCATCCCAAAGCCTGGCAGTATGGAAATGACCCCGTAACCCTTCCTAGACTGACAGGCAGTAACAATTGCTTCTTTGAGATCATTGCTGATGTCTTTCCTCCTAGGCATTCCATTAAGACACAACTGAACGCTCCAGAACAGCAAACTACCAAAATCTCTGCTGTTATAGATGTGCTCACATTTACTGACGATCAGTGATTCAAGTGCATTTGATTCAAGTACCTGGCTGCTACTTATCCTTTTTTGGGAAACCCAAACAACCCCTGGTCAGCTGACTCACTAAAATATGTTCCAAATAAGAAAATCCTGGTTGGTGATGTAATAAATTTGCCATTTTTATATTTAGAGAAAAAAGGAGGACAGAGGCTGTAAAGTCATTCACAATGCTAATGGAAACAGACAGTAATCCAGGCAGTAATATGCCCTCTCACACAGTGTGTGTACTTTTGAAACTGCTCCTGTTGTAAGACGCAATGAATTTGATGAATTTTTAGGTGGAGGTTTCAAGCTCATTATCTAACACCTCTCTAAGCTGGCAGCGCTGAGAAACAGGAAATCTGGCCTGTACTTCCTGAATAATAGCAAGTCATTTGGGGTGACTGACATAGGCAGCCACCCTCATTCTCATTGTTACCAACAGCAACAAAACCCTTGTCTATTTGTCTGAGAGCTCATTTCTCAACATGACCTCGTGTCCTGGACATCTCAGTGTCTCAGTCACCCTCCAAATCTGGTTAGTGGGCAGACAGCCTGAGCCACACTATCTTTGTCAGGGGAACAGTGAATCACCAAACACACACACAGAAACACACACACAGCGACATAGCACACCAACCATTTGTTCATGTACGGAGCCGTGTTACAAGATGGACATACGGTCAGGATTAGACTGCAAGACCCAAACACGCCGAGGTCAAATATATTCTAACGAAAAGGCCACAAGGGACGGTCGATCAACACAGTAACACCCGTTAAACTAATACATCTTAGATGTGAGTGTTGCTAACACGCACACAGTCACGCACTATAACTTTCAGACTAAAGCTAAAAGTTCGTTTCCCTGGTGCTCATTGCTCTCACATGGCTCAAGCCTCTAAACATAAAGAACTTATTTCTTTCTGCTGATGCAAGGAGCGATAGTTTACAGAGAAGAAGAAATCCAGTTGTGTACTTGACAATGGATTCAATATTTAATTAATGATAAAAAGTAAAGGTGAAATATCCCCTGTCAGTTTCTGTGGTTCGGTCAACGTTCTGGTTGTCAGAGTAAAACAATGTTATACTTGTATGTACAAAATAATGTCAAAGAGTGAAAGGGTACCATTTATTTTTTAAATTTCATAGTCTTTAACCTACTTCTACAGGCCAAATCACACCATGATGTATGTCATCATAATTATTTGTTGAATGATAATGATTGCTGAATTAACATGAACTAAAGTCATACTTTCCAAAGTGCACGACTTTTCACTCAGCTGCATTTAACCGACGGCTATAGCAGTTGTATAAAAGCATATACAGAACATAAATATAGCTATTTGAATCTGCTGAACTCAGTCCCACATCATGCTTGTGTAATGACTGTAAACTGGCACATTTTGCACACTCGTGCACTTAATTGCACATAACTTTAATATCAAGCAGTGCAAATTTGCTCTTTTTGTGTTGATATTGAACTTGTATATAAAAGAATTCAAAAATGTTAAATTATTTATTTAAAGGCATGCAAATCATGCATACATTTCAATGTTTTTTTAAATCATGAACTGTTTTGTATGGATAATATTTAAAAAACCAAACAAAAAAACAACAACAACAAAAAAAAGAACTTGTATATAAAAGACCATATAACAACATGATCTGTCCTTTCTAAATGATAAAGAATCCCAATCATATTTTTCTCAGCGATTTTCTGTTTGTTTTTTGTGTGGCTAAAGAGGGAAAATAAAGGAGGACTAGTACATCTACACAGAGCACAGAGAGGATATTACTTCCTCTCAGCGGGGTCGGCCCACACAGATAAACAAGCAGCATTGCCTATTTAGGTTCTGGGCTGGTGAGAGCGCCGTTTCATGCGTTTCAACAACTTAGTCATCGGCACTCAGGCACAACCTCTTTGTTTGTCTCTCTCTTCACTCTGTCTGAAAGAAATGATGGAACTTCCCTCTTAACTAAAGTATGTCTCTGTCAGGATAAACTGCTGGCTTAATGCCCCCACCCCCCACCCCAGTTGTCTAAGTGTGGCAGATGTTGATGGAAAGGTACCCTCAGAGGCACTGAGACATAGCACTTTAAATGTATATCAATCATATATCACATATCAGGCTTTATAAATGAATAATCTGTCACTCTCTGCTTGGATGTGTACACTGCTTTTATGCTGATTTTACTAAAAGTTAAAAAAAAGAAAAAAGACTTAGACAGGAGGAACATATAACCATGTGAAAAAGTCTTTTCAGTTTGAAACTGGGTTAATTTATGTCCCATCTAAGTACAACGTTTTTATGGATTTTGAAGGATGGTGAAGTCATACTGGAAACACAAAAAGGTCCAGTGTTCCAAAGAAAAAGCTGTAATCTCCAGGTCTCTTTAATGACATCATGCATTTGGTTTGGCAGCTGCCCAAACGGGAAGGGAGGAGATGGTAAGCTGGTTTATGTTGTAACAGTTTATGGCCACACATCATACCTTTGGGTTTTGCTCTTCATTATACAAACAAAAACTTATCTGTAGCACATATATGTCAGTACAAACTGCTACTAGATTTCCAATCCAAAGCAATATTCTTGCAACTATTCTTATTAGTGTAAATGAGTTATATCCAGATATTATATAGTATATAAGAGTTCCTCACAGATTACCTTAGAATTAGTTAATTTGCTAATAAAAGTAAGCATAAGCATATATCTATAAACATACGGCATACATAAAAGAACATTTTCTTCTTCATTTAAATATATGCGGACTGACGCCCCAAACAAAGCGCATCACCTGTTGCGTGTCATAGTGCGTGAAATTAAGGAGCTGATTTCAGAGTAATTCAAGCATGTTACCTATTTCCACACCGACCCTTTGCGTCATTAACTTAAATGTCTGAAATGTCCGTCCGATAAGGAAGAAAAGTAACAATTACGCATTTTAAGTAAGTAAGTTTTTGGCACAAACATCCTTGTGATAAATCGCTCCTTGTTTCACATAAACTAAAGCGAACTTTAGCAGCTACCTAATAATGTGCTGCGGTTTGGACTCACCTTTGCAACGCGTAAAGATGAGCGCCTTTCACTCTACGCCAGCAGTGCGTCCAGTGGGTTTCGCCGAGAGGTGAAATCTGCTGAGGCGACGAGGCTTTAAAGACAGGGGGAGCAAAGGAAGAAAAAAAGCTTGAGGACATCAGCCAAACCTCTGTAAGCGCTCATAAACAATGACCTCAGCCAGGAATTTACAAGCCCTCTTAGCGAAGTTCTCGTCGGTCCTGCAGTCAAGACAAACGAATCGTTTATCATTTATCTGCATCAACGAGCACTGACACTTTTACATTCATTAGTGAGTGTCACGGCAGGTCTGCGCTACAGGAAACCTGTGGTATGAAATTATTAACGCTCGCTACATTTATTTTCATTTTTTCATCCTACAAAAAAAATAAAAAATAAAATAAAAATAGCCTGACTTGTTAACTTCACACACTTTTTGTCCCACTTCTGTGCTGGTCTCACTTGCCTCCTTCTTTGGTAACGAATAGACGAATAACATCAAGATGACTCATTCTAAAACTCAAAGTAAATACTTGCAGCTTGCAAGCTTAAGCCCCAAGGTTCTTCCAGCACAATTACAAAGTGATGATTAAATGCTGAAAAGGTGCTGCTCTTATGTAACACAGATGGCACCTTTTATAGCCGTAACCGCCAATCATCGCTTGAACTTCATCCATATCCATCCACTGAGAAACACCAGGCCTGTGAAAAAGATGACTGATGATCCATTTGTTTGTAAAGTCGGCGAAGATTTGGCGGAAGGACTTAATGGTCAGAAGGTCCTACTTGTCGTTTTAATGGCTGTCATGGTTAGTCAAACACCTGGCATAAATACAGATTCGTTCATTCAGCTCATTGCCGACGCCAAAAAACCCATTATATCTATTTATTTCCAGCCATATGCATCTGCATGCGTGCCTACTTAATAATAAGCCGCTAACTGCAAACACGTCACATTACTGTAAGCACACAGCAACTGTTGTGACACAAGAGCTACAACATTGATCAGAGCCATGTGTTGTGCAGGTCCTTGCAAACCTTGTCATAAATGTATGAATTCAATGGTGCACAGGGAGAAAAAATGTCTTCTGCAGAGCATCAAACTTTCTCTGATATTGTTATATAATTTACTATGATTTTTTTAATAAAATAAAAGAATAGTAATTTGCAGTTATTTGTCTTCAAAAATCAAATACGCCGACTCATGTGAGGAATGTGTGAAATGTAAACAGCACTCAAGTCAAGCCTGAACCAAAGTGGTCCTGTAAAATTACCATTTCCTCTGTGGAGTGTAAATCCAGGGTACAGACATTCTTGAGCACACTGGAGGGAGTTGTTCCCATATTAGGAGCACGTTACCTGATATCTGGCACAAATCATGCCCCAGGAGAGTTAAACGCCATCATTCCTGGCAGGTTAAGATCCAGACTTTACACTCACACCACTTTTCTTTAAAAAATTGTTAGTATTTTGTTTTGTTTTTTGCCTTTAGCTCTATCCTACCTAAGACTAATGAATCAATACAGGTCATCAGTTACATGTAATGAATATCAAAATATGATCAAACTGGAAAAAAAATGGAGATCATTGAACAAGAACATGAAGGTGACCTGGATTTTAAAGCCCATCTCAGAAACTTAATATCACACTGGCAGCGGTGGCATGATGGTTAGCTCTGTCGCCTCACTGTTGCCTGGGTATGAATTTACCATCTTCCAGGTTGGGCCTTGGTAGGCTCCAGCACCCCCACAACCCTGAATGGGATAAGCAAAAGAGAATTTGATGGATAGTATCACACTGGATTAAAGGTTAAGGAGGCTTTTAACTAAGGCTCAGTATAAAATCCAACCCTTTAATCTACCCCAGATTTGGGTTTAAGGAAATAATTAATGTGCTCTTCAAACTTTTAAATTATAGTTGCTTAAAATAGAGTTGTCTCCTTGTAAGAGGCTGTGTATGTCTACAAGCTGTAAGCAGTAGATTCCTGTACTCTTAAGTTATTTTTTAATAACGTCCAGAGGCAAGAAAACTAAAACAATGCATATTTTTCTACCATCTTGCAACCCTGACTCTAGAGTTGGGAATGCAAACTACATAATGTTTTAAAATGTGGATTATTAAGTCAGCTTGAAGCCAAATTTTATTCCTCTCTAAAATATCTGAAATCACATTGGATGCCAGCTCAGCCTACCTGTCAGACTTCTAACGTAATTAATATTATAAACCGATTATTACACTGTAAGAAATCCCTTCTCTGATTCATTCAACTCAAATGAAATCACTTCTGGCACTAAACTCATTTCATGTTTCTCAGGATGGGATGATCTCAAGAGTTCATGGCTTCATTCTTTTAAAGCCCAGACATCCACAATAAATAAATGAACAGTAAAAGAGGAGGCCATTACAGTGAGGGCTTTAATCAAAAGCACAGGCTTCTGTTTATTGACCGTTGCACGCAAATGAACAGGTGAGAGTATATTTACACAGATGTAAACAGTCAGTACCTGCAACACAGACAGGAGAGATCACAATGCCTCTCTCCTGTCTCTCTCTTGCACATATACCCACACATTCAAATCCTCATCCACATGCAGGCAGTGACAGACACACACACACACACACACAGACACATTCACACACAGAGAGTTTGCGGTAGAAAGATAGAGTGGACTGTCTGAGAACACGGAGCACAGCAGGCTTCTTTGGTCAGCTACTTCAGACAAGATTTCCAATGATCAAAGCATATCACAGGTCACCATTCAGAGAGCAGAGACAGAACACGTACTGGCAGAGCAGTAGGAAAACACCAAAACCTCTTTTACTTTTTGCAGATTTCACATCTTTTAATGTCTCAAAGAACAGTGGATCACAATATTCCTTGTATAATTTTTCACTTTTGGTTCCCACTACGCCAAAGAGTCCATAACAGCAGAGGATAAATGAATCATGCCTGTGCACAAGTCATGGCAACGGCATTCAAGCAGCAACTTACACACAAAGTACCTGAATGGCGAAGCAATAAGATGGAGCAATGTGGGAATATTCCTTCATAAAGTAGCACAGAAAACAACTTAAGATGAATTCACTGACATGAATTTGCAAATCCCACAACCTTTCAGTGTAAGTAATATAAAAGTAACTAAGATAAAAACAAGAGTAGAAAAAAATAAACAGAATAGAACAGCGCAACATTTGTAATAAGTGCAAATCATTCTTTTTTATTCACTGTGTCCCTTTTTCAGAAAAAAAAAAAATATTCAGAAACACACTTACACATATAAAAAACAAAACAAAACAAAACTGTGAGATCAACAAATCATATATTAGAAAATGTGGAGTTTAGAGACATAACTGATAAAAAAAGAAGAAATAAGAAGTTCCTGCACAGCAGAAGATAACTGTGGAAGGAAAAGCGATATCTAGCATGCCTTCTCTTCCTTGTACCTCCGTATCATCCCAACACATGAACGCTCAACAACAAGAGCCTAACAAGCCCCCCAGTCACCCCTTCTTCTCACTCTTTAACCACATCATCCTCCTCAAAGATCCATTTTGCATACACACAGTATTTTTTTCTCTTTGGATCACTAGGAGGCCAAAACAACAACTTTGAGAAAAAAAAAAAAAGAAAAAGAAAAAACGCCATGATTGCTTCAAGTCACCAAATGTTGTCTAGCTTCAGTCTGCATCAACACAGTGTTGCCACGGTGATGTGCTATCAACACTTCCTGTTAAACTCACATTAACAGCTGCTGTACTCCGCACCCAAAGGAGCTGACGACACCTTCCGTTCTTCTTGTCCACGCACTGAAATAGCCCCAACAGCGAACACTGACACAAGGCTACAAAGTCAAATGTAACACATCCGGCCAGGAGTACCTTTGATACACTGCATGTTATGTGCCTCTGTGTTCATGGTCAACCATTACACATCAAAAACTCTACTGTGTACAGCAGACAGAAACATCCAGCATTTAAACAGCTATTGTTGCTCTGTTCTGGCAGTCTGCATAATAACAAACTACCACAGTGCCATTGAAAATATCTGCTGACATGTGGACGGACTGATTAATCCTGTGGGCTTGTCTTTTGAAAATAATTTCATACAACACAATCAATAAATTCACAGCTGCAACGGTTGATTGATTAACTGTTCTGCCAGTAAATAAAATAATTGTACCGCATTCATTTTAATACCAAATGAATGATCTAAGTCGTGCTGTTGAACAAAGGTAATGTTATCTACAGATTCTGAAGACTTGCGTTACATTTTTAATCAGATAATCAGACAAAAAAAAACACAAATGAAATAAGTAGAAAGATGTAATTTGTCCAAAAAAAAAATCAAATAATTATAGTTTTTCTTCTGGCTTGTAGTGACACCTCGACTTTTTGGGGTGTCAGTAGCCCAGATTTAGAGAGGTGCACCTTCTCTCTTATATAATGAAACTAAACTGCTCAAAACTCAGAAGCACGTCTCTTTCTGGAAATCATGACCAGCTTTAAAAAAGAAAACTGCATTGTGGACAGTTTCATGTACTTAACTAAAGGAGGAGTGCATTTACCTGTTACTAGAGGCTCGTGCCTGGATGTAGTTTAATTAAAATACATCCTAAATTAAACAGCTCAATGACAGTTTGTAGATTTAATTTCAAGTAATGATGTAAAAGGAGCATTTCTGTGTTTCTCGATGTTTTGGACACCACAAGACTAGAATTGTGTTTGGTTATATTTGACAGAAGGCAGATATCTTTAATCTTTACGGCTCATTATTCAAAAAAAAAATGGGCAACTCACATCACATTGATCTTCATGAATAAAAAATTTACCTAAATCATATTTTTTCCTGAAACACTCTTTAAGGTCTGTGCAACTCTGATGCGCATTGTTCACTACTCTCATTTTTTTAAAATTTTTTTTACACCAAATAATTTATTAAACAACTGCTGGCAGATGAATGAATTGCTGTTCGCAGCCCTACCAAAAGCAGATAGATAGTTCTCATTAAGCACAATATCAGTTGTACGCTCTTAATACCACTGTAGCAGATAATTTAGTCTCAGATTCATGTATCTAGATGTGTTGTTCAGGTTCATTGAATGAGAAAATATAGACTAGAAAATGGATATGAAAAAGGTGATTCAGCTCACAAACCTCTGTTGCAAAAAGAATACAAAACACTTTAAGGTCATCTGCATTCAGATTTCATAAAATGTAAAAATGCAGGACAGAAATGGCACTAAGCGTTCTCGCCTCATCTCATTTGGATCTCGAAACAACAGCCCTTCGTCCTGCCATGAACGACAGCAGCCTCTAAAATAAGGTGTAAAGTCTCCCTCTATGTCACAGTCAAAGGTCATTGGGAGAGATCCACATGTTCACTGCCTGGTTACACTGCAACACTGGCATCACATTGTTACACACTATTTACAAGCAAATAGCACACAGACTGACAGCCCAAACACGCACTAAGTATATTGCTACCTTATGGACAGAGGTCTTTGTTTTATGTTGAGCATTTTTTTATCTTTTTTTTTTAACAATGGAAAAGTGAATGACTGACCATATTG